CAGCGTGTCCGCCAACGCCGCCCCGAGTAGATCCTCCACGTCGGCGATCACCACTCTCGCTCCGTGCTTCGCGAACAGCCTCACCGTCGCCTCTCCGATCCCCTTCGCGCCGCCCGTTACGATCGCCACTTTTCCCTCCAGCCTGAAAACAATCGACGATCACATTAATTAAATATAAAATAATACAATTAATAGTGTTGTACTTAATTGTATGAATTAATTAATACCTTTTGTGGGAGGGAGGGGATTTATCCAAATCCCTTGGTAAGAGATGAATGGCGTGGAGGGGTTGCTGTTGCTCCGGCATTACTTGGGCAGTCATGGCTGATCAGAGAGCGAGATTTTGCGGTAGCAGCAACAATTGCGCAAAGAAGGGGATTTTATAGGGAGAGATTTTGAGAAAAGTTATTTTATTTTATTCTATTTTAGTAAGAATTTGAGAAAAGTTGTTGGGTAGTTCAAGGCAGCTTCCTACATAGTGGCGTTTCACTTGCCCCTCGTCCCTCTCCCTTCCATTGCCTAATTTGTCTCCATCTCATCATTCAATATACAATTTAGATTTGGTTTTGACTCTTACAACTTTAGTTCAAGAACTGATGTGAAATTTGAATTTGGAAGAATATTTTATGGGTTTTTAATGGTAAAAGAAAATTGATACTTCTTCTTTATGGGTTTTTAATGGTAAAAACTAAATTTTTTTTGCCAATTTAATGAATTATTTCATACTATAGTTTAACACTGCCACTATTTGAGTTGTTGCCTCCAAAAAGAGAGTAATAAATAATATATATATTTTAAAAAATATATATACGGGCATTTCCCAACAATATAATATAATAATATATATATATGCTCATTTCTCCAGGTATTTTAATTATAAAGAAAAGGAGGGTAGGGTAGTATAGTAGGTTTGCTTCGTTAAAAATGGGATCGCAGATTCCTTTGAACAGCTAAGCTAATGCTAATGCTAAACCCCTGCATCTGCGTGCTCCACGATCTAGGCTGCCAGGAAACACAAAATTAATTTACCAAATCTAAAACTAATTTTTCTGTTAGCTTTAAAATAATAATAATAATCTCTTCTTAATTTAATTGTTAATTGTTATACCAATCCAATTCCAAACAACCTCTTTAAAAGATTTGATATCTCTTGAAAATAATATGGGAGCGACTTCAAATGGATTTGATCATCCAGCTGACTCCCCCAACATGAATTTTCTCTATACTTTTTTTTTTTATAATTAATTTCCAGCTGTACGGTCAAATTTTCAAGAAATATCATGCGTAGTTACTTTCATTTTGCATACACGTGTCACGGGTGATTGTATCCAGACAAAAACAACCAACGACTAAAATTATGAAAATGACAACTGCAATTAGCCGTGTGGGTAGAAATTGAAATACATTTTCTTTTCTTTTTTGACTTCACATTTTCAATTAATAAATGATGTTTTGTAAATCAAACACCAAAGGAAAAATCAATATGAATAATATAAATATAGTTCAAATTAAGACATTTTTCTTTAATTAAGATATCAAAGGTTGGAAAATCCTCACCAACAAACAAAAACACACTTGTGAACAAAACATTCATTAAAATTACATTTTCAATATACAATATACCAAGCCACCTTCTAATAAATAAATAAAATTACAAATTAAAAACATGTATCTTCAATCTTGTACCCGTCAGTTTGAAGTACCAAAAAAAAAAATTTATGATTGAAGGATTGAAATTATCGAGAGGTACTTTGACTATAAAGTTAGAAGCCTATTTGAAATTACGAGTTTGTGAACTTCAATTAAAGTTAATTAGCCCACCTGAGTAGTATAGTCCGTACATAAATAAAGAGATTGATTATAACTTTTTCAAGATAGAACTCCTTCTCAACTATCTTGACCGGGAAGAGGGGGAGACCCTTGTGGAAGTCCTGCCCGCCCTTTGTTAAGACACTTATTTTCGACCTTTCATTTTCGATTCAAATGTTGTGAGTTTAAATCTTCACATATTAGACTGAAAATAATAATAATAATAAAGTTAATTACATGTTTTGGAAATTGGAAAATTCATTTTTTACTCTGTATACTAATTCTTACCGATCAAAAGCTCACTAAAATAGTTAATAACAATTTCATAGGAATTTATATATAAATAAGAATGGATAAAGCGAAATCAGTTCAAACGAGGAAATTGAACAGTTAAAATCGAGGAGCTAGTTTTTTCAACTCAATCAAGTGAATTTTTCTTACTTAAGATTCCCCAATATCTCCCAATTTTCAGAGTTGAAGATTTGATTTCACAGTTGAATATAACATAAAATAAATGGTTTATTTATGTTTCTGCAACATTATCATAATTTCCTTTGCTTTTAATTTTATCCCTCGTGTGTCATTCCCTCAACACTTTACATTTTTTTAATATAAATTAAAGTTAATCTGTGGTTCCCACCCTTTGAAGGAAAAAATACATATTAAATATATGTGAAAAATATTGTGAAGGTGACGTATCAATTATAGAAATACAGTCCTTCACACAACACGTTCTGTTAATTTATCAGTAATATTATGGACCTACTATAACATTATATTTAAGCAATTTGTGGGCTATATTTAAATTCTTAGTTCAACAATATTATTAAGGTTAAATATGCCATTTTGTTAGGTTGATTTGATCTTTTCGTTATTAAAAAAGGTTTTATTGATACGTGACATGTCTTATTTGTTTATGTATTGAATAGATGTTTATGCAACGTGGATATTTATTGAATAACAATATTTAAATGCTTACTATTAACAACTTATCTTGAATTTTGACAACTTTGAATAATGTGGATAACATAAATAATTTCTTTTTTTTTTTTGCATTTCTATCTCTTATCTACCAAAAAAATTTAATGTTAATCGACAAAAAATAGTCTAGGTTTATAACAAAGGTTTTAAATGTTGATGTCTCAATTTCATGAAAATGTCAGATATTGTTATTCGATGGTCCTGAAAAAGTTATAAAAAAACTCGAAAAAAATATCTAAATTAATAATTAATTGTTTCACCCTTCCTCAATAAGTTAAAAACGATTAATATTATGTGCATATTAGTGAAATTTTGTTGATATTTTTCATATTTTGTCGACTTTTTGGAAATATTATAGAAATGTCGAATCCATAAATACATGAACATATGGATGGATATTTAATACCATGTTTGTAACTACGTATGATAAGTTAGGTGTCCAAATTTCATAAAAATGGTTTAAGATGCTGAGATGATAAACACAAAAAGCAACTTATTGTTTTGTATTCAAGGATGTGTTTCATAGAGTCTTCAAAATTTTGAATTTAAAAATAAGTCTATTAATTAATGATCAATTTTTAATTTGTCAATTAATGATCATATTAGGAGATATGATTAGGATGAAGCCTACAATTTGACTGTGTTAATTGTTATCTTACTTAATAAGGATAATATTAATTTTCAGAGAGGGTATAAACTTTATACTATAAAGGATGATAATTAGGACTATTTTACTTAAGTACACAGGGCAACGTGAATTGTGATGAACGTATATATATAAATATTTTCTTGTGACTCTAATAACAAACACATTGGGGATTAAAAAAATATGGAGATGGTCATGGTTTAATTAGTGGAGATTTAAAATTCTTTTTAATCTAGAAATGGAAGTGGATAGGATTATAAAATTAAAAGTGAAAAGAAAAATCCCAAAATGGTGGGACCGCTCTTTTTGCTTTTATTTTACTTTATCAACTTTAAAAAATTTTATTTTTTATTTTTTATTTTGTTTTTAATAAATAGTTATATTTTTTTATTTCAATAAATATGGAGATGAAGTTAAGCTTCTGATCTCTAAAAGATGAATAATACGTCGTAATCGTTAAACCAAGCTCGTGTTGGTAATAAATAATTATGTTGTGTTTTTATTAAATTAAAGTGATAATTTATGAGTAGCCTAATTAAATAAAATATGAAATTCAAAAATTGCTTAGATATTATAACAAAAGTAAGAAATTCACCTTTAAGGATAGTTTGTACATATGATTTTTAATCGTACATATTAATTCAACAGTTAAAGATTTTTTCTTGGAAGTAGATCTTTTAGTTAAAGATGTATAGCTAAAGAAGTTGACATTTTCAAAACTAGTTTAAAATTTATAGATGCAAGGAGGAAGAAACGAATGATACACAAAAAAAAGGCAGGCAATATGAATCGGGCCCTTATAATGAATTGGGGCCATATAAACACAGCTGGATTGGGCTTTTTCCAGAATTGGGCCTGAGGTGTTGGCTGCTACCACTGGGCCTAATTGGTGTTGCTTGTTATGCCTGCTCGCGTAGTATAAAGCATTTAAACGTCGGTTAATTAAGAGATCTGGCTAACACACTTGCCTAATTCGGCATCACTGAACATTTGAGAAGAATGCCTCAGTATCATAAAACAATCTTTTTATTTATTTTTGAAATAAATTGAAAATGGAAACCAGCGTCAAATTTCAACTTTCCTCCCTCGTAATTCTTTTTGCCATCAATCTTTCCCCTTCCTCTTCATATGCAAAATCAAGTTTAAATTTATATTTTAATGTTTGCCAAAATCTGTTTCACCCCCTGTTGAGAGTTTCAATATCAGTAAAAATTTGTATTTTTTCTTTGCCCTTTTCCAGACTAGTTAGTTGATAAGGTAAAGTTGACACTAAAGAGAAGACAATGGACCTAATATACTCCAAAGTTAAATGATGAAGGATTCCTTCAGTAAAATAGTTCTTAAAAACAATTTCTTCCACTCCTTGCCTATCTGGTATATGCCTCATCCACTCAATAGCGTAAGATATAACCTACTACAAAACAATTTATTTGCTCTTGCATGTTGGAGCAAAGTTTTTACCCTGCTCCTGTACCATATTCCTACACTGGATATAGTCTATGTTCAACAATCAACGTAAGATATAACCTACTACAAATCTAGGAGTACAAAATAGCATTTTGCTTAAACGAAGAGTGGAATAAGCCCAAGTGTGCGTCAGATAGTAATTACCACCGTTGATATCGAAGAGGAAGAAAAGTAATTTGTGGTTCATAGGGAGTCGAATTTCCCACCAATCGCCACCGTTGGTTTTGTTTCTGCCTTCAATTTCAGCTCCAAGTTTACAAAGTGCGAGAAGGAGAGAGGCGGATGAAGATTTATTGAGAAAGCAACCGGATGAGTGAAGAAAACATGGCTGTAAAGGGTAATTTTTCACACCAATCTCACCACCACTGGTGAACAAGAACTCCACTTCGCCTCAAGGAAGCAAACAAATCTAAGCATCGGCCATAAGTTTTGTCATATTTTGCGCTTCTCTCGCCTGGGCAACATCTCTGCCACCGATTGTAATGGCACTCGAGAAATATCTCATCTATCAAGCAAATAGCACCCGTCTTGAACAATCTCGGAATCAAATCGAATTCAGTTCCCTCCACATCCATCTTCATCACTACAAAATCCTTCTCCGTTACAGTATTTTTCAACCAGTCAGCAAAATCAAAGCCCTGAATCTCATCCACCTCCCCGTCGAAAGAACCTGTCGATGTTGCCACCGGTCGAATCCTGCCCATTCCTCTCCCCTTATCTTGGACCTTCTGACCTGGGTCTCGATTAATTTCGAAAGTTAAGGTTTCATTCCTCACCCAAGCCGCGTATGGCAGAAGCTTGACCCCTTTCTTTGTGCTATACTGCTCGTGAAAAATTCTATCAGCTTCAATGGCATAAACTTCGAAGGTTTTATTCTGTTTTGGATACTGCTTCCTAAACCAACTTCCTATACTAGAGCCATAGCTTCTGGCTCCGACGTCGACGTAAACGTACCTCTGCTTGAAGCTTATATTGGCCATTGATGGCAGATATTTTATCTTTTGAATGTTCCGCTTCAGTGTAATCCATGGCTTCAGTGGCTCCTCTAAGATCAATGGCTCGGCCTTTCGGACCAATTCCTCCTTAAATGCGGGAACCGAACACTTACCGTCAGACTTCTGGTGATGCGTTTCCACACCATTACCAAGAATATCATCACTCTCCTTCATCAGAACAATCTGGCGAAGGAAAGGCATCGAAGAATCAAGGCCATCTATATCCTGTGATGTAACTATTTTGCAGCAATTAAACAAATCAATGAATGAGTGAAAGCTGTACGTATCTTTAGCCCTAATTTGGACAACAGCAAACCCTTCGGGTTTCAGCGTCCGAGCAATTTCCCGGGCAAAATCTGCCGGCCGGGATGACTGATCAAGGCGGCCCCCGCCCAAGAAAATAAAATCGAAGGTATTATCATTGAACGGGATCTCATGTGCTTCGCCCTTTATCACCAGAGGCTTAACGGCTTTCTTGAATATTCCAATCGAATCGGAAACCCCAATCTGTTTCAAGGAAAATACATCCTGTCCGTTGGGAGTTTCCACGCACAACGATTTCGATTTGTGAGAGAGGAACCCTACGGAGATCAGATCTTGAAAGATTGAATAATAAAACTGGACGGCCTTGATCCAATCTTTACTAGTGTAAAGATCACGACGCAACAGTTCTTCGGCGGTAGGACCTGCGCCATCGATTACAGCCGATGCTCTGGGATGTAAGCCGGAGGCTCGATACCTAGAAATTTTGGGCGAGAAGCAGAAATTTCCAGTGATACAAGACTCACCAGTGGTAATCACGACGTAAGAAAAATGTGCGACTAAGAGAAGCACAGGAACAATGAGCGCCCTAACCAAATTCCTCAGAGAAACGAACCTCCGCATGGCGGAAACTGTCGCCTTCACGCTTTCAGGTGAATCAACGCTTCAAATGCACGATCAGAGGTTAAAAAATCCAAAAAATGAAGAGAATCAAGAAAGAGAATGAGGATTATCGAGAACAAAATCGAGCAGAAGAATGGTTGGCACCGATCAAGGCTTTTCCGGATGCGTGGGGTCGGAAATAGAGAGGGAAATTAGGGTTAAAGTTGAAATTCATGGCAGAATCTTTCCGTTGCAGCATTCGGAGGAAGACTTTTGTAGGCGATAATTTATGTGTCTCAAAGGAGAGCAATGCGTAAAGCCATGATTGATTTACGTCTCGCTCTGAGTCGAACCAGACCGCGTTAAGTTTGTTACAGAGAAGAGAGTTTGAAGGGTGAACGAAAAGGGAAATAAATATAATGGGAATTCACGCGTTGTGAAGAAAGAAACTGCCATTTTTTTAATTACCCTCCTGGGTTGGGCCACTCTCGAAATACCCTAAACTTTAGGGTATGGATACTGAATATCACTGATCAGTACATAAAGACAAGAATAATATAATCATTAATGAAGCAAACCAACTACCAAATTGGAGCATCAAAAGAAAAGAATAATGCTATTTTAATCTAAAATTAAATCATCACGCGACAGCCACTTGATTTTACACGCCTACTTAAGCAATGGATAGGATTCGATGAAAATAATAATATTTAAATATGTTGGTGTTTGGTAAGCAAGGACAAACCTCTTACTAACCCCACTTAGGAACTGACGTAAGAAATTAATAACTAATCCAATCCACCCAAATCAAGTAAGAAATTTATTAAAATTACCAAAATGCTTTCATGGTCTCTATTTGGTTCACTTTAAACATTTATGAATTTCAACCCTGATTTAATTTACAAAAAGGAAATAAGTATAAGGATTTTATTTTATTTTAGTTTTTATTATACATGCACGAATATATAATATCATATGAAAAGCTTCGATTCATAATATAGTTTAGTCTCAATTCAGTAGTTACTGTTTTAAAGGTTTCTAATTGATTCGCAGGATTTAAACAAAACTTACCAATTGTCTAGTATTGTTTTTTAGTGATAATAAGAGAGTAATTTATATTTTCCATTAGTTGACTATATTAAGGTTTAAAATGTATTGAATGTTGAGTAAAAGATAGATAAATAAAAATGTGTTTTTAGTGGATAATACTATTTAACTAAATTTAAATTTTTAAAATTTATTAATACTAAATTTAAATTAAACATAAACTTTAAACTGTGATGAATTAAAACTCTTCAATTATAAGGACTAAATTAAAATAGTTAAAAGAAAAAGGGCTAAATTAAAATTAATTGATTTATCAAAAAGAAGTTAAAACTAATTGACATGTTGTATTTAAAAAGATGATAATAATAATAATTGAGAATTTTAAAAAATGCTGCCGGTTTGCTGAATAATAGGGGCAATTATGTCAAAATGTCTTAGACTCTTTTTTGTTCACAGGAGACGAGCACCGAGCGAATACAGAACCAAACGGTCAACGTGTGCACCAAAATCGAGACACACGGGCACCGATATCCCAAACCAGTGGGTGACCCAACCCAAACGCCGGTATACGTATAACCGTTGCTAAAAGTCCAAATTTGCCCCTCCACTGTCTCATTTATGTTTTGATGCTTTTCACACTTTTGGCCAGGACAGATTTGTCAGACAGAATTCTGTACTGTCCAATTTTTCTCCCTCTTCGTCATACATCACATAGCAAGTAAATAAATTTTAAAAACATAGAGAGGTTATAGGTAGAATATTCTTCAGAGAGAAAAAAAATGAAAACGAAAATAATTAGTTTTAAAAGTAATTATCGTTATCCAAAGTTAAAGTTAAAGGCTGCACCGAAAATTAGTGGTGATATTAAAGTTAGAAGCAATGGCGCGACAACGACACGATGGAGGGTACTGTGGGCCCAGTGCTTGCCAAGGCGAAACGTTGTGGAAGGGACCGCGTGAAGTAACTTCTCCAGCCGCATTCAACGGTCTAATTCACGATTTGCCTTTTCCAGCTATTGTCTTGCCCGTGGTCGGTGCTATCTATCATATCCTCTTTTGGGCTGGGCTGGGCCGGGCCAATTTACACTGTTCGGGCCCAAACGACAACGGGATAACCAGACTTCCTGTCGTATCGGCTTCCGTGGCGGTGCCTGGGTGACCATAGCACGTGCCTTCAATTATTTCGCAGTGGAAAATGATTCAAATTAGGAAGAAATATTTGCAATGTTAGTTGTATGGCATTTATGACCCAGAAGAAAATATATCATTGGCTGCGCAGCAGAAATAATGGTGGTGGGGATCACTAGAGGGACTCAAAAAATAAGTACAACACCATTGATTGGAAAAAAAAGAATTTCATTTCATTATAGTTCATTCAATGAGATATTACGAATAGAGATGATATTTTGAAGTACTGTAATGAATAATACACATGCCTAGTGGTGTATGAATATTTTTGTGGTTGATAAATATATAATTGGACCATGAATGTGAGAGATAATAGATTAATTTTATCATAATACTAGCAAAACATACGTGGTTAGGTCTAAAAAATATACTGTTGTAGTAGTATAAATGAAAAATAACTGGCAAAAAGTTAACCCAAAGATAATATAGTCGATAAAGTAATGTTGGTTGGAAGTAGGGGTGTTCAAAAAACCCGGTAGCCTGAAGAACCCAACCCGAACCGTGAGGATTGGGTTGGGTTAAGTATATGCTCGGTTTGGGTTGGGTTCTAATTTTAAAGAACCGACCGGTTCGGTTTGGTTCTCGGGTTAAGAGGGAAAAAATCGGTTTAACCCGAACCGATACATATATATCTTATGTTTTTAGGTTTAGGGTTTGTAGCCGCCTCTCATTTCTCTAACCCTCTCAATCACATCACACCTCCCTCGATCTCCCTCTCATCTCTCTACTCTCTCGATCTCATCCCAATCTCTCTCAATCTCATCCCATCTCTCTCAATCTCACTATCTTAAGTCGTCGTTCGCTGCCATTCACCATCATTCCCCGCCGTTCTTATTTTTTTGCTGCCGTTCTCGTTTGTTCGCCTCTCGCTGTAGCTGCCGACATTCCCTTCTGTCCACAGCCATCCGCCGCTCATCCCATCCCAACCCTTATTTGAAAAGGAAAATATAAAGTAAAGTAACCGAGGACCCAACCCGACCCAACCCGAAAAATATAGGATTGGGTTGGGTTGGGTTAGCTAGTATAGTCGGTTTCATCGGTTCTCCTACCTGACCAACCCGAATTTTCTAGTTGTTCCAAAAAAATCCCTGAACCCGACCCAACCCAACCCGTGAACACCCCTAGTTGGAAGTATAATCATTCAAAATTTTTGACGGTCCGATTTCTTATCTTTGTATTGAACTAAAAATAATAATATTAATTGCTCAATCACTATATTAGTGATAGTCATATTAAGAATACCATATTTACAATTGAGACCGTTTTTTAAAAGTAAATATTATTAAGTAAATCCATAATTCTATTAGCACTTTAACGAAATGTTGTCTTTTTAGGAATTTCAAGACAACATTTGTTAATCCACACAAATACAAAAAATGTATTTAAAATTCTTTTAATTAGCTAAAACCTAAAAGTACATTTCATATCTTTCCAAAGGTCATAACAAACTCGAACGGAGGATTGACACGGCCCATTCCATGCAAAATGACACTAAGCTAGGCCTTGAGAATATGAAGTCTCTTTGTGGGCTTGGGCTTTTCTTAAAGATCGTTTGGGCCCATAAGAATGGGAAAGTATTGGAATACATTGGGCCTGTTGATCTTTGGAGATTAGCCCAACGATTGAAATCTGATGCATTCTTCTATCTCCGATCTTTTAAAGTTTCAACTATTTTTGTTGCATTTCCTGATTTGAAAGAAGCAACGTAGATTTGATTAACTCCCTAATCAACATTAAAAACCTTCGAAAAGAAAATTATCTATTTTGTTTTTTATCTTGTTAGTTCTTTGTCATGTGTTGTATGTAAGCATTTTAGGCTCAAATTATTCCTTCAAAACTTGGAAACACATGCAACACTTTTTTAAACATAAGAGATGAATAATGATAATAAAAATTTGGAAGTCTCCAGGTCGGAACAAGTGATTAATTTCCATCATGAGATTAATATATTGAAATGAAGTTTATCCGTTACAGTCATATTAAATCTGGAATTCTCCAATTGGTCAGAGTTGGAAATAGGTCAAGAAATTTTATATGGCTAATGTATATAGGAGGATTTGAGAATTGCCCCGCAAAAATTTTTTATTTTATTTATGAAAAGACTTAGCTGGTTGTAGAAACGTCATCTATAATACTATAGAAATATCGACTTCTTCCATCTATATTTAAATAAAAAATTAGTTGATATATTATTTTATTTTACGAATTGCTATGTTCTTAAAATAGGGTTTAAATCTCTCTAAAAAATTAATTAAGTCTTTACCAACCAAGATCGTGTCTAATAAGTCCATAAACTTTAAAATAAATCTAAAAGCCCAATATTCACGTTTCTTATTTCTCATTTATAGTTTCGTAGTTTTAATAAATAAAAATATAACTATATTTAGTAACTTTTTCTTATTTATTGTTTATTGTTTTTTTAATTGAAAAAATAAACAAAATGTTTGGAAAACAAGTATCGTTTCTCATTCTCCAAAACTTTAACTAAAAGTAAAAATAAAATTTGTATATGCAAAATATTTTTTAAATACCAAACTTTTTATTTTATATTTATTTTTAAATATTTATGATGTATTAGTCAAGAATGATAAAATATTTTATTTACGTTTTGGAAAACTAAAAAAAAAAACAATGGAATAGAAACAACCAACTTGATTTGGTTGTTTTTAAAATTTGTTCACAATTTTGAAAAACTTTATTTAAAATGAGAAATAAAAAAATAGGAATAGTTACCAAATATTTATATTTAGTTAAAAAAACAAAAACAAAAGTTACCAAACAAGCTTTGAATTTTTTATTTTGCATATATAGATCTCAAACTTATTCGGTAATTTAAAATAAAAGTAAATTTTGTTTGGAAGATAACCATTTCATTTCAATCTCGTGTTTAATAGATCATTAAATTAAAAGAATATATTTAATAAGTCCAATAAGGAATCTCCCATAGGTTGATCTATCAACTTTGAAACTATAGATATTATTTTTAAAAAACAAAGTATTTCAACTAAACAATATGCTTTTTGGTACAGTGGCGTGTAAACCATAATCCCATAAATAATCCCATAAAGATCGATGTTTGAGTCTTTATCAAAACACCTTTATCAATATTTTTTATCTAATTTTTGGAACAAAATACAATGTCAGTTCTTACAAGTTAAATTACGAACTTCATTGAACTCATTAGAGAGGAGTCTAATATATTTTTAGTACATATATTAGTTCAATAATATTTTTTTTTAGTTTATATGTGCGGACCAAAAATTTTGTAGACAGAAGTCAATTTCCACGTGGGAAAGGCTCAATCTCGGAATTTGGCACCACCCAAATATTGCCACGTCATGAAATCCACACATGTTGATTGGTCCACAGTCCACTTAGCGTGCCTTCTTTCAACTTCCACACCCGCTCCGGCTTCCCTTACAGAGAATCTGAGCTGTCACTTTATAATACCTAAGGGAAATGTTAAAACAAATCCTATATTTCCCAAGGGAAACAAAAAACTGGAAAGTGTTTCCTCGCCGGTTCTTGTGTTCGATAAAAAAAACCCAATCACTGATTGAATCCTCCGATTATCATGTCAAATCCGGAAGACACTGCACCGAAGCAAGAAAACGGGGCCGTGGCGGCGGCGACTGCCCCTCCTGCCGCCGACGTGGAAAGCCAAACAACGGCGGCGACGGGTTTTGGGGTGTCGGAGATCGTTAGCCGGTGGCGGAGGGAGGATCTGTTAAGACGCCGCGCCTTGGCGCTGAGAGGATGTGGTCTGATACTTTCCTTGCTTGCGTTCGTCGTCATGGCTTGCAATAAACATGGCGATTGGAAAGATTTCGACAAGTACGAAGAATTCAGGTGAGGGAACCCAAATTCGGTTCGTTTTTTTTTCTTCTTAATTTTTAATTGCGAATTCAATGCTATTATGGACAGGGATTAGAATTAGAATTAGAATTAGAATTTGCGTTGGATTGAAATAGGTACCTGCTGGCAATAGCAATTCTGTCTACTTTATATACGGGCGTCCAAGTTTCGCGACAAGTTCGTGAACTTTCAACAGGGACATCTATGTTTCCACTCCGCAAATCTGCCATAATCGACTTTATTGGAGATCAGGTTCGTGGGTTTCTCCTAATTATATATATAAAGAATTTTGAACTCTGTATAATCTATCTAATATAAGAAGTTATAACCTAAAGTTTAATCCTCTAACTTTTAGCATTTGATTCTTAAAATATTTAAAAAGTTCACACAGTTAACTTTGTGTCTAGCAAACATGTGATTTATTAAAGGGAACCTGAAATTTAATCAAAATTGAACTTTTTGTAATGAAAATTCTGGCTGGGCTTCTAATTTAGTGTTGAAAATATGAATAATTGGATCCGCAGATTCTGGCTTACCTGCTAATGTCGGCTGCATCTTCGGCAATTCCGATGACAAACAGAATGAGAGAAGGGTCAGACAACATTTTTACAGATTCCTTGGTAGCCTCCATTTGCATGTCCTTTTTCGCCTTCTTCTCCTTAGCCTTTTCTGCCGCCATTTCAGGATACAAACTCTCGACTCAATCTTACATATGACCATTCTTTGTTCTTACCAACGAGTTCTGTTTGTTCCTCCTGCATAGTTATTGCTTCATTTCTCCATTATTTGTACACTTCCATTTGTAATTTTGATTTGAGTCATTATTGCAATGTGTATAATATTGAGAGTCAAACACCAGTGACATTTCGATACAAAAATCGACAAATTTTTTAGAGTTAATTTTTCTATATATTCTATTCTAGTCTAGTCCCTGTCCCCCTACTAATTTTACAAAAGCTACAAAAAAGAACAAGAAAACTTCCTTCAAGTATCTAATGGGTCGGTTATTGTATAATCTAAGGCAGAAATGAGTCAAAGAATATGTCATCTTTGGCTTCTTCCTGGGCTTCGGATCCAAATCCTGTAACTTGAAAACTTGGCGGCACTCGCTGGGATGTACCAAATGCGAATGCTTCCTGTGCTTCAATTCCCGATGTGGGGAAACTCGCCGGCCGGAACGAGGCAGCCAAATTTTCCGGGAAAGGATGGCTGACGACGGCGGACGGCCTCACCGGCAACGGAATACTGGTGAAGTGGTTGGTGGGTACGGGTCGGTTGACGGCATTATAGCCGCCGCCGCCGGCGCTGCTGCCACGGGCCGCCGGAACTTCATGGTTATGTTTGCCTTCGTAGGTGGTGATTACGGCCCTCATGTCGTTAGCCGCCCGCTCGATGTGTTTCCTCACAGGGCAGCCCAAAGATGTGCACTTGTAGTAGCTCCTGTACAAACACGCAGGAAAATAAAAAACAACGATTTAGGGTTAAACTATAAAATTGAAATTGAACCCAAAATGGGGACCAAAAAGAGGGATTTGGCAGAAACTTTGAAAAGATCAAGAAGTAAACCTGGGATTTGGATTTCCTTTGACTACTTTTTGTCCGTATTTCCTCCATCTATAGCCATCAGGCAATATGTCGATTTCGCTGGTTGTCTGAACCACAATTCTTGGCTCTTTCACCGTTCTGCTCCCACCCCCAGAAAATCCCTCATTTTCGTTTTCCCCTTTCCTGCAAACAAAATCCCCTCAATATTATTAGCCTCAAAATTATCTAAAATTTTCAACCCAAAAAAGAAAGAAGAAATTCACTCACCATCTTTTGGCTTCCGGTTCATTTTCGTTGTCGTCGAGCGAGTTGCTAAACGGCGAATTGGGTTCCAATTCATCGTCCCCCATGGAGACGGAGGAGTCATCCTGCAACACGGCGGAGTCCGCCGCCCCTGACGACGGATCGTAAATGCCGGAGTTGGAGGAACGTTTTGTCGGCAGGGGCTTGCCATGATTATGGCTTCCCTTGTAAACAATCTCAGTAATCTGCCCATCCAAAGATCTTTCGACTTTCTTTTTGGTTGGGCAGCTTGGAAAAGTGCACTTGTAATAACTCCTTGGATTCTCGCTTCCTTTCACTTGTTTTTGCCCATATTTTCTCCAGTTGTACCCATCGTTCTCTGATTTTTGCTGCTGTTCTCTGTTGTAAACAGGCAGCAATGGAATTGGCCTTGTTTCTGCTACCGCCATTTCCGAGCCGCTTTCAACCGCGCCAAAATATTCAGCTTTCGCTCCTACGTTCTGCCAAGGAGAAACAGAAACTGTTAGTTACAGATCCTGATTTTCCCCTCTTTTTCTAATCGACTGACAACTGTGCTGTGGATTCTGTTTCTCTCTCTCTCTCTTTCTATTTTTATAAGATATTTAAGTTTAATAAGATAATCACGGTGGTAAGGCTAAGGCTAAGGCTAAGGCTAAGGACAAGGGTTTGGAAACTTTTGTAATATAGCGAAGTCAGAGCAAACGACAAGACGCAGAAACAAACATTACCAGTGGAGTCGCGTCGGAAGAAGACGAGGACTGAAAATAAGTTGATAAAGAAGACGAAACAGAGGATCCTGTTTGATGGGGAAGCGAAGAATCAGAGTAATTTTTCCCATCTCCCCCCTTCATTCCTTGACCATCATTTCTCGAGTTGAAGGCGCCAGTAGTAGGAGACGGAAAAACCTGTAACGAGTCAGCAAAAATCCCAGATTAAAAAACATACAAAACGAATTAAGAACAAGAACAAAATTGAAGAAGGAAGAAAGCAGAGCTACTTCACAAATCACAAGTTAATTATGTACCTCTAACGAACTTGCTTGTGGTGTAATAAAAAGGAGTCAGTTAAATTGGTAAATTAGTGCAGTAAGTTAAAAAGGCAACTAAGAGAGGTAAAATGGGAGAAGAAAAAACTTACACCAAAGGAGAAGAACAGAGGGGAATTGAGGAGCTCAGTGGGGGTTAAAGCAGAGGCGAAAGAGGAGAGGTAAGAGGAGGGGGACGTGGGGAAAGGAGGAGGAGCTTGAACAAACTTCAATTTCGGAACTTCCACACCGAAATTATTGCTTCTGTTGTCAGAAGATCCGCCACCCAGTGCACTTATCGCTTGGTTTATGTTTTTCATGTTACTTTTCTCTTTTTTTTTTTCTTTTTTTTTCTTTTTTCTGTTTTTGTGTGTTGGGAAGAGAAGAGGAAGCCAAGCTTGTTGTTTGGAAAGAAGTTTCAGAACAAAGGATTTATTTATATGAAAAACCAGAAGAGAGACAGAGAGAGAAGAGAGAGAGAGGGAAGAGGAACAAGGGAGTGATTTGTTTTGTTGGCAATTAAGGTTCTTGCAGCTACTTTCTTCGAAGCTGAGATGGAAATTTGACCGTGGAATTTCCTTTTTTTTTTTTTTTGGGTCAAAGCTTGTGGGTTTGACTTGACTGGTCAGTGCTCTTCTCAGAAGGCGGCTTAGCTTTATTCTGCAGAGATTGCGCCACGTGTCCCACGTCTGTATACGTGGACTACTTTGCAACAAGGCATCTTATCCTCTACCCTACGATCGCCTCTCTCTAAATATAGTGTCTCTCACTTGTAACATTTTCTCTCTTCTTTTCAATTCTTGTAGCGAATAACAAACATATTTAAGCTCTTCAATTGATATATAATAAGTTGGTATTTCTGAAGGGAGTGGCAGCGACAGCATTGCATTTTTTGTTATTATAAAAGCTGCTTCAACCTTACATGCCCATTACGAAATCAGATTGATTTGACATTTTCTTAAACATATCCAACAGAACAAACAAAATATAAGTTTTGTTTACATGAGTTTAGCTCAGTGGTAATTGATATTGACATCTGTCTTTGATCGAGATGTCATGGTCGTAAAAAAAAGCAAAATATAAGTTTTGTAATAAATGGGCCTTGGGCCTGTGTTTGCAAACAAAAAATAAATAATACATGGGCCTGTTGATCCAATTCTCCTGCTAATGATGACCTTTGGGCCTATCATTAGTCCACTTCTTTTTCTGTGGGCCCATCGCCGCAGTTTCTTGCAAAGTTTGAGAATAAAAACTCTAAAGTCGAGACTGTAGAGCCAATGAAAACTGTGAGTTTGATTGAATTCACGAGGCTTAGCTTCTCAAATCCTTTCAAATCTTCACATAGCAGCTGGCTGCATCCTATTGGACAATTTGCATCTCATCTTCCAACTGCAATTTCCAACACTTGGGATCCAACTCAGCCTGCCAAACATGTAAAAAGCTACTTAGGATTCCATAGGAGTACATATATTATCTGTGCTATACTCTACACCCATCTGCAAGAGATTGTCAAAAGTTAATCATTGATCCAAGTTCCAGTCCTTATATGCAACCAAAAATACAGGAGCCTGTTTACAAGCTTAACATCAATTCGAGCTCGAGGACGTGTTATTTTTTGGAGAGCAAAAGTATCATGTTCCCACAGTTTGACTACGAAAATAAAAATAAGATATCAATGTGTCATGAAGAAAATATAATGCATTAACACATACCTGAAATATTTTCTCTCTCCATTCGAAGGTACATCCCCGCACTTCCAAGTGTTTGAGAAGACGTTCGGGTAGCAGCGCTTGAAACAGTGCATGGAGCTTCACTTTTGTTAGGGAACTATTTGCCAACAAGGCAGCTGCAACTCCACTTGGAGTTAGCCTATTTGTATGCAATATGGTAAGATGCTGAAGGCAGCTAAGGCTGGCAAGAGACAAGAGGCCGAGGTCGGTAACCGAGCTATACGACAAATTTATCTGCCAAGAAACTGGAGAAGTTACATTTTGTTCTACCTGTTCTACTCTAATAAATAGTGAAAAGAGAGCAATGGTCACCTGTCTGAGGTTTTGAGAGAAATGGGCAAGGGCGATCATGCCAGCATCATCAACATTGCAGCACTTTTTTAAATCTAGTCTCCTTAGTAACTTGCATCCTGCAACAGTTGCTGCTAAACCAGAAGATGTAATAAGTGGGCATCCTCGAGCTTCGATTGTCTTCAGCCTCGAACATTTACATAGGGATGAAAACGAAGCATCGGTGATATCACGACAATATGCTATATTTATCATTTCAAGATTAGGGCAACCGTGGATGATTGCCAAAAGGCCAGAATCAGTAACTCCTGCACACCTGAGATGAAGAAAGAGGATGAATATAAGATCGGCCCAGGTCCTACAAATTAGAGATAAAAATAATGAAAAGTCATAAACCTGTATAAATCTAGCTCCCTAAGCTTGGAGCAGCACATGCCGATATGGCCAAGTCCATCGTCATTAAGATTCAGACAAATTCCTAGCTTTAAGATGGAGAGTTTGGAACACCTTGATAATGATTTCAGACCTGCATTGAAATGGATGATAGCTGATAAGTATGCCGCCAAATACTCTATACAATACAAGAAGACTCATAACTAGAAGAGGAAAAAGGACCTTCGTTATCAATTTCGTTGTCAGTTAAATCAAGCTCTTCAAGCAAATGGCATCTTCGCCCAATGAGGATAAATCCTTCTCTACTAACTAGGGAACAAGACTCCATTTTCAGAGAAGTCAGACCAGTACATGAGTTTGTAAGATGGGAAATAGAAACATCAGTTATCCTGCGGCAGCAAGTTATGTCCAACTTCTTCAAATCTTTGTGTTTGTTCGCAATGGAGGAGAGACCGTCATCGGTAACACCGACACATTTACTTAAGCTCAGTTCCCTTAGTGATACACACCAATTTCCTATGGCTTTCAGCCCATCGTATGTGATAACACAGCCATCCAACTTGACTGATTGTAACATGGACAAGTTTTTCAAGCTATCAGCCAGAGCAAGAGTCACCTAAACCATCAACAGACAACAATAATCTTACTTTGTAAATAACAAGGCAATATAAAGAGGATCACCTGTTAAAAACAGTGATTAAGTTGATGACTTACAGGAGAGCCATATGCTATAGTAAGCTGCTGTATAGATGCAGTAGCCTTGGTAAGGGAAGACAGCCCGGTAGGACTAATATTCGGACAACTCGACACATCAAGTTTCTGTTGAGAGTAAAATGTCTGCCAATGTCATAATGTGTTTTCAAGTGAAGAAGTCAACAAATATAGACAGAATTTCAATTCCAGAATTCTATTCTAACCAAGATTGTATAGGGGGAAACAAGAACAAGGACACTGAGCCAATAGGGGATATTGCTAAAAGGATTAACTTATCTAAGTTGATAAAAATTACCTTTAAGGACTTGCAGCCATATCTAATAACAGCAAGGCAGTCATCGTCTATGCCAAAGCATCCCTCTAACACCAAATCTTCAAGATACTTGAGTCTCAATATGGATGGCAAACATTTTTCCGTGATCTAAAAGGGAGAAAAAGAATAGTATAACAATTTCATAATAGATTTAGCTAAGAGTTAATCACTCGTCCAGCTTAGAACTCATCATCCGCAAATAATCAATTCAAGTCCTAAGAAACGATGGAGTTCAAAAACAATTAAAACCTAGCCAAATTCAGATAAATTATCAAAGAAAAAACCGTTCAATGAAAAAACAAAGCAGAAGAAAAAGAAGCGGAAAGCATAAGAGACCCCAAATTACCGGCATATAGGAGAGATCCAGACCACGAATTTGTTCGCATTTAACAGCGATTAAACCGACCCCCAAATCTCCTATACTCATACACCACTTTAAGCTAATGAATCTCAATTTGGTGCATCCAACTGCAATACACCCAATCCCCATATCCGTTATCAATTTACACCTCCCCAACCACAGCTTCTCCAGATTCTTCGCCTTCGCCAACGCCAGTGCCGCCGTGTCTCTGAGTTCCGTGGCGTTCGATAAGTCGATCTCGACCAAGTTCGAACAATTCATAGACAAACTCAGCAATCCTGCAGCCGAAAACAATTTAGACCTTGAAAGGTCGACGGAACGAAGCTTGGAATTGCACGCCTTAGCGACGATGGCCAAGGAGGCGTCAGTGACTCGAGGGTTGAGGGAAAAATCAAGACCCGTTAATTGCGTATATCGTTTAAGCACCGAAGGAAGGTGCTCGGAGCGAAGAGGTTTGAGGATTTTGCGGTGCTTGGCTTCAACGGAGTATAATGACTTGCAGGCTAAGGAGAATGACTTCAAATCGACAGGGTTGGAGCTGAGTAAGTCGAGAATCGTAAAAATGATTTCATCAGAAATCAGATCAAAAGGGTTTGTGGGTTCAATCTCGATGAATTTCTGCCTCTTCATGCTTGAGACGAAGGAAATTGTTGCGGGTAATTTGTGTCTTAACTCTAACAAAAACGCATATAAGACAATAATGGAGAGGAGAGAAAACGCGAGAAGCCTCAGAGCTCTGATGAAGAAATGTTCGAATCTGAGGCGGTTGGTTTCTGAATCGGAATGGTAGGAACCGTGAAGAACATAGCCAACTACTTTCTCAGATGGAGCGATAACTGTTAACGGAAAATACTAGTTTCAAGGCATGGGAGGGAGGGACTGAGGGAGAGAAAGAGAAGCCTAATTACGCTACTGCCCTCAGGACATTGATGATAAGATACTAAATATTTTTTTTTTCATATATTTCTCATATTCTTCACTTTTCACCCTCAAAGCAGAATTCCAAAAGTTCCATTTCTCGTCTGCAAATGAGAAGCAGGGTTTATTTCTTATGAATAAGTTTTCATTGAAAAATATTTGACTCCTCCTTAATAAGGAATAATCTTGTCCTCACCAATAAATATTTAACAATTAAAAGAGAAAAATATAAAATTAAAGATTTTTTAAAAAAATAATTAGGTGTAGTAAAGTATTTTTCATTTATATATGCGAGGTTTGTTTTTAAAAAGATGGAATAGCGGGGCTATATTGGTAATTTAGGAAGGGGAGGCGAGGCAGTTCCGTACCGAAGAAAAAGGACAGAGTGAAAATGTGAAAAATAATTGGGGTCAAAATTGTAATTTGGGGAGCAAGACGTCGCTTTCACGAGTCATCCGGTGGAGGAGTATGTGAGGAAGGACGGATTCAAAGTGCATACAGCCTGTACGATCAAAGAAACGGCATACCTAACAAAAACTTTCGAAAAATAATTAAAATAATGGAAATTAAAAAAAGAAAAAAAGGAGCATGAAAATTAAAATTGGATGAGTCAAAGGGAAAGGGAAAGGATATTGCCGTACTTATACTTAGCCACCCATAGTACCGACCTTACTCAGATAAGAACGGTGGGAGATAGCGTCAAAAAGTGGGTGAAGATTTGGGCCCACCCCCACTTCCTTTCCTTCCTACACTATTATTCTCTCCCATTATATTTCAATAAATCTATACCATTACTTTCTTTTTTTTTTATCTCATCGGGTTGAGATTTGAATTTCTATTTTAAGCGAGATAGATATTTTAATCCATTCTATTCTTATATTACTATATATTTCATATTGTTTTTCTCGACTTATTGATCTATATTATATAGTTGGCATACTTTCCGTACTACATACCATCACATCTTGTCACATAGTTGCTTATTGATCAAATTAACTTGCAACACAACTATTTAAAATAATATTGATGATTGTAACTAAAAGTCAATGATTTGGTCAAGCTTTAAAAAATTTTATAGACAATCATCATTGAAATTTTCAAATTAAATTTGCCATTTCACCTTAAATATTTGCCTATTTACTTCGTTTCTTAATTAAAAAAATGTATTGATCATATGATCATTATTCCAATTCATAGTTATTCTCTAAATTTTCTTAAGAAGGAGTTTGATATTATTGAACCAAAATAGTGCCAAAAATTATAAGAGGATTTAGGTTGTGTTTGATAATTATTGTTGTCTTTAGGTTTTATGTTTTTAAAATTTGTACTTTTCTCAAGTCTTTTTGGAGTGTTTATTTTTTAAAATAAAATAGTGTTATCAAATAAGACCTTAATTAATCATTCAAACAATTGCTTTAATTTGATTTTATTTTAAATAAATTGAACCTTTATTAATTGGTTCACAAATTCTCTAAATTCTTGCATTATTTTTTTACCTCAAATACGTGGGTACTATTTTAACCTTTGATCTAGAAAATGAGGTATTCCTTTATAGTTGAGTTATACTATGTTGGGCATTAAAATTAAATTGATTTTGTTGATGCACGATTTTGGTGGAGTTCCATGGCAACAAGTGAACCAAAGTGAATCCTTAATCTAACGAGTTGACAACCTACGAACATGACTCTACACTAGTGCGATGCTTGTGCCTGGTCACATATACTCTAAAGCTTTAGTTTGTACTCAGTCTTGGGTATCGAACTTGGTAAGATTAGATAGAGATTGCGCACCTTTGTAATGAGAGAATTCCACCTTTTTATATGGAGTCTTGAGAAACATTTCTTTATTATTTCAGCAATCCATATACTCGAGACAACCAGCAGATTTTATGTAGAAGATCAAAGATCATTCGTCATTATTGTCCGCATTATAAGTTGGACTCATGCTAAGTTCATGATTAGGAGATAGAAGAGTTACAGACCAACTCCTCGTAGTGTGTACGAACTGTGACCTAGATATGTGTCTTAAGGACGAAAGGGTCACATGGGATGTGCTGACCTAACTCCTAACAAATTTAAAGAAAATCAACTTTAATACAATATATTTGGTAATATTCTTTACTAAAACACGAGTTAAGGGAAGTCTACTAGTGGCAGATGTGGCTGAGGCTGGCATTGCTACCTAGTGGAAGTCAAGGAAGCACAGGTCTTATTGAAATCATTTGCAGGGATTTCGACACGTGGGACAAAGGTAATGACTAACTTTATTTATAATTAATAATTTGAATATATATCGCAAATATAATAATAGTTTCCGTAATTATCCGTTGTGAGTGGGCCCAAGATGCTTCATGTGCAAGAGATTTGGCTATTATTTGGGGATTTCTGGATTTTATTCCAACACCAGACTTGGTGGAGGCACTAACTGCGACTACAGCTTTCTTTCACTTCCTTTTTAAGATCTTTTTTTTCTTTTGCCTTATTTATTTATTATTATTCCACCCCAGACTTTCGGCTAATCATTTCCATAGTTCACCCGCGAGTAAATAACTTTTTATTCGTTGATATATAGATAATTAAAAAGTAAATATTTTTTTAAGAAGATAGGATCATAAATATAAAGTAATAATTTAAATTTTCTGACAATATCATAAAATTTTATTTTAGTTTGTTTACGTTTGAATTCTTCTCACATGAAACATGGATAAGCTTACTTGGAGCGAGCTATGCGAGAAAAGGCCTATACAAAAGAAAAAAAAACATTCTAAAATTCAAGTCATTTTGAATTTGAATTTAGTAAGTTAGTCTCAGTTGTAAGGAGTGGAGGTTTTTTTATAAGAGAATGCGGATCAATTTATTACAGTCATTTCGTAAAACGGTTATACGATTGCAAGCAGTTAGCTCGAAAAAGTGTCATGGTTGAGACCACCTTGATCCTTCTCAAACTACATAGGTCGGCCTCCTTAATAGGTCGAACTATGCACTTAGTTTAAATAAAGTAGAACTCGATCTTTCTAATTTATTTTAATTGGCCCATGTGGTAGGTTATATTTTGACTTCCAACATAGTTAATTAATTAAATTAGGTAAGATAGAGCAAGATGCACAACAAATATCTTTCAAATTTCTAGATAATAATAAAAATATGAATGTATTGACATTGTTCATCATCTCACACTATAAATTTTAAATAGACAACTTGTATAGATATTGTCTTGATACTTTTATTATTTAAATTTTATATAATATTAATATAATAATTATATACTATTGAATATATTCTATAACTTTTATTATATATGTAAGATCGTCCGGCATTGTCTTATATTACATTGTTTTTAAAATTAAAAATATATTACTGTAAATGCACCACATCCAAGGCAGAGATATATATTTAAAAGAAGAGTAATTTAGAGAATAAACTTTTAAAAATATATATTTTTAATTGGAACCAAATTTTAAAAATATATTACTATAAATGCAACATATTCAAGTAGACATACTTATTGAAAATTTAAAAGATGTAAATTAGAGAAATAAAAATTTTAAAGTATTTACTTTTTTATATATTTGTTTAATTAGAACCAAAGAGATGGCCAACTGCCTTGCGAATATATATTTTTTTATTTTTTTCCTTTTTAATATATTGGGTTCATCAAGCTTTTATTTAAAAGAGAAAAGATATCCTTCGATCTTATTCTATTTGGATGGTTTCACATTGATGCTGGAGTCAAGAAGCCACTGATTAGATTATTGTGTTATTTATTTTAATTAAAATATGAAAAGTCAACGGTCAGATCGTTGCATCAGCATGTACCCGCGTATTCATCGGGCACAAAGAAAAACTTATTTAATGCATTATTCTAATCAATTTAGTTTTTACTTTTTGAAATTTTATGAATATTGTACGGTAGGACTTATGAGGCCGTCATGGACTTGGGGGGAGCAATTCAAACGCCCTGTATTGTTTGGACTTTGGAATAAGAAAGGTTCATTATTCCGATAAATTATAATTTATTTTCTAAAAATATGTTTTCTCACCGTATTTAAATTAAATAACTTTGAATAATTCAATGACCTCTATTATTATTGTTGTTATTTAATTTGTCATAGCTAGATAGGGTTTCTTGCACATATAAGGTGGATTTTGAACGAAGTTATTCCAACAAAAGGAAAAAAAAAATGTTGATTTCAGTTTTAAAATTCTGACAAATGGTTTATTAAAAAATAAAATTTTCCGTTCAGTTTATTCTTCAAAGGAGAGAGATTTCATTGTCGTTTTTTCCCTTAGATCAATATTAGTAAAAATTAGGTTGAACCAACAGATTTAAATCCTCAGAGTTGTTCTTTGACTACTTTTGAGTAAACTTTAAATTAACTTTTTTTTTTTTTTTGGATAGCTCCTAGATTTTTAAAATGCATACTTTAGCTTTATTTTATAATATAATTTTACTTATTATCTTATTTAAGTGAAAGATTATTCACTGATATTCGTTTCTTTTTTTCCATTCGCCGAGACCAAATATGGTGATAACTTTTAATACAATTGATTACCTTAAATATTGATTAACTATGAAAGTTTATTGTCAATTAATTTATATAAAGTGATATAAATCTACATATTAACAGTTATGCATGTTCTCATTTTGGTATAAGATTTACCATTATTTTTTGGGTGGCAATATTGCAATATTTTACGTAAACTGCGTTAAATTGCAAGGACTACCCTCATCTCTTAGTGCCCCGTCGTCTTCGCATCTCAAATTTAATCATTTTAATGGAGCCATCCACATTTTCGTTATTCTAAAATTTCATTTTCAAAAGTTAACCACACCACAAACAAAAATAATTGATAGGTATATTTCAATTATCTTACTAAAAATAAAAAAAATAAAAAGGAAACGGAAAGTAGTAACTAAACCTATTTTTATCCGTCCCTAAATAAAACAATAATAGTAATAAAAGAAAGGCGTTACCCACCGACCCTCAGAAACTGCTAGTCACGTATAAGCAATACTTGGAAAGGCTGTAAGACTGCTCTTAAAAGGGCAATTTGATATGGCAACTCAAAAATGTTCAAAATTTGACATTTATGAAAAAATCAAATTAAAAAAATCTCCTGCAAACGGTAAACAGTGGTAATCTAAACAGAAAATGAAAATTGGATATAAGATTTAGCCCATTTGACCACATGGAAGTGCAACAAATTGTTTGTAGGATAAAGGTAATCCATATCACATTACATCTATCAAATCCAACATTCACACAGCAAGTAAACGAATTCTTCGCAGCTACACAGATAGCCGAGCAAGTAGAGTTTCCACAGTCAAAAGCACATCCTACAAAATCATAAAACCGAGTTAGAAGTGTTTTCAAAATGCAAGATGCAAAGCATGTCAAGGAGCAAAATCTCAATCAAAAATTAGTATTCCATTCTTCTCATTGGGGCCAACTAGGTCAATTCGAACAACACAATCCAACCATATCAATTTAAAATTAGCGGTACGATACAGTTTCAACCAACTCCACATTCATATGACGAGAAAAGCACCATTTATAAGCGAGTCTGAAGGACCAGGGTAGCCAGTTATAACCTGTTAAGGGTAAATAAAATTAAGCTTAACATAATCTCAGAGCAATTTTTTATGCTTCCATGGTACAGCTAAGTTGACACAGAAGCAGCAGCTTGGTTGGTGAAAAGACAATTTAAGTATATAGAGGATATAAAACAATCATTCTTGCCAGACATCAAGCAGAAACTAGATTTGAAGTATAGTCTAAGATAGTTGGATCTAGTCCCACGACTAATAAGGATTAAACAGAACAAACAGAAACCAAAGATCTTGAAATAACAAAGATTTTCTAGTTATAAGGGAAAAAAAATTATGTTTCAGGTGTCCTCTTCAATTGTTTTCCATGAGAAGTAGCACCCAAATTTCACATCTAGAAGTTGTTCCAATTGGTCCTATGGTTCCAAACAAAAGGACACAAGAAGTGATATGAACCGCCCAGGATTTTACATTATGATAAAATTTTA